CTTTATTGATGAAGTCAAGTTTATTTCATTGTGAACCTGATCCATCAGTCAACCTAACTGACAAATCTAAGACACAACCCCAAGACCCTTGTCATATTTTACACAACATGTCCATAAGAGACCGTACAGCTCAAAATTATGACCATGAGGACTGGACCAGGTGCACAGCCCACACACGCCAAACATACTGTGTGTTAACACATCTGCCTGTGCAGATGTTCGGGTCCATTTTAGACTCTAACTGACCCTTTATAGTGCTGCAACTGATTTCAACGTCTACAGGTTGTCTAACTTAGAATTTATCTTCCAACTTTAACTAGATCACCACAAGAAGTTGGTTGGTGGCTGGCACCCAGACACTGCTGACACTACTGACCCCCTGCAGTCACACCAGTGCTGCCCTTAATGCAAGCTGTCCCATCTACATATCAGTGGACCACTTCCTAATTCCCCCAAGTGGAGGGGTGACCTTACACTGTGCTTTTCCTTAAATATATTCTGACGGTATACTTCAAGTGATGGCTCCAGTGCTTTCTCACAGTTCACTACAAGTCAAAACTAAAGACAGAGGTTCAACATTCATTTTAAAATCACAACCCTGATGAACTCAAATGTGCAAACACAGACTAAATCAGGCACAACGACATACAGCACATATGTATTCCCACTGTGACAGCTGATTCCAACAAACAGATGAGACTCTGGTTATGACTGTGTGTACATTCTAAAAGCAAAAGACTATCATGATAAATTCTGTCAGAGTCTTCCTGACGTCCTTCATTTGGCTGTAGTACTACACAGTCACGTCAGTGCTCCTTTGAAGCGCCCTGCACCGGGCAGCGCTGCCTTTGGTGTGAAGCCAAGGTTTACAGCCACGTTAAGGCTCTCCAATGAGAGGGAGCATCCTGTTTAGGATTTCTCATCACGCAGCAGGAGCGGCAGCGTTGGCAGTGACTCCGGGGTTTCCCCTCACTGAACGTGACCTTCAGTTCAGCCCGCCTGCTCCAATATCTCTCAGCTCTCGTAGTACGTTACTGTATCTGCCTGTCTGTCTGCCTGAGGGCATAATGAGCCCACAGTGCTGAATTCCCCCCCGTCTCCTCTGAAAACAACCACTGTCATGTGAAACCCGCCAGAAACCGGATTATAGTTGTTTTCATGATTTGAGGATGACGTGCAGTTTTTAGCATTAAATGAATCAAAACGCAAGACACACACACATGCTCTATGTTTTCAGGCTGTGACCCATGACTTTAGTTTTTCAGTGGCGTTGATGTTGCGATTGTTTCAACCACACTGTGGTTCTCAACATGAAGAGTGGTGAGCTGGGTTGTGGCCATGCAGTTATCAAGGGGAAGGTAGTGGTCACAGAGAGGAGAGGTCAGCGGTCATGACAGTAAAAACAGTCTAAACCTGGACTACAGTTGAAAAGTCAAACGAAGCTCCTCTCTAACCTCTTCTCCTCGACCTCGACGGAAAACGTCATGAGGTCAAGGTAAGATGTGAAGGAGGATTCATAAGGACTGCACTGCAATTACACAAGGATTTTTTTAACTAACTTTATTTATAACACCTAGATGACAAATCCTCCTTTCATAACCACAAATACAAAACAAGCAGGATTGAAATGTTGAAATAAGATAAGATAAAGGTAATAGATAAGTAGAGCCATTAAAGTAATAATTAAAGAAAAATAAGGAACTGAGCAAGAGGACAGAATAAATTGTATTCAGACATAAGCATAAAGAGTTTCCTGACATTTCTATAAGTTTGTTAAGTAGAGAAAATTCATTTTTAGTGCTTTACACAATGGGAGGGGATTTAGTGCAACAACATTTATTCATAGACTATAGTATTTGGATATGATAATATAATTAACTATAAATTCAACCTGTTTGTTCTTCATGACGACTCCTCACTGATTTAAAGAGAATGAATCTGTATTTATGGATTTGGGCTTCAGTGGATCAGACAAGGATTTCCATCAGTTCTGGTGGTCTTTCTTAAAACAGCTGCTCTGATGTTTCTACATTTATCTGGGTCTGCAGAGGTGAAACTACAATGATGTGTTGCTTTAAACGTTGCTGCAGCAAGGAATTGTGGGACATCATTTCTCCTATTCTTTTGTAAAGGAAGGTCCAGTGTTTCCGATGCTGAAGGAGATAAGATAGGAAGCACTGAATGTGATGGGATGTGATCTGCGCTGCGCGTCAGGTGCAGCAGGCCTCACCCCTGGATCCTCCCTCCTTATTGGTGGAACTGCAGCTGATTGGTCACCTGGGCTTATACAAGTCACTGAGGAGCTGCATTGCACCCTCTCTCTGCCATGCTGCCTGCCTGCCTACCTGTCCGTATGATTTGTGTGATTTGTGAAAGCACGTGTTGTGCCTGCCACTACTTTTGGTTTGGTAAATTTGTTTAAGTTTTTGACTAAGAAGAAGCCAAGAAGCCTGTAGGGGAGAGCTGCCATTTTGTTTCACTCCCTTTTTTCTCCTGTTGTTTTCTCCTCCACACAGTGGGACAAAGTTGAAGCAGGAAGTTGGTTTGCAAAGTGTGTTGGATTCTTACAACAGACAGTTTGAATAATAATTTTACAGAAACTATGGATATAAGACCCACATTCTAATGAACCACAGTTCTTATTTGACTGCACCTCTGTGGACTAAGAAACTCCCACTGGGTGAACTCAAATTAGATTTTTTTTTTTCCTTGCGTCCTGAAAAGTCGGCCTTCACCTTGAACAAATACCAGAACAGCGATGCCCACACACACACACACACACACACACACACACACACACACACTCTTTCACTCTCATTTTCTCCTTCAGGTGAGGGAGGCTCAGGCTCAGTGTAGGCGTTCGGCCAAAGCAATCTGAGTACGGAATCAATCATGGACTCCCCCTCTGTAAACATCTGCCCTCCTCTCTCTCTCTCTCTCTCTCTCTGCCTTTCATCATTCATGTTCTCTGTTTCGCCACCAATAATTACAACTGGGAACCACAAACTTTTCTCATTCTGGTTTCCAGGTTTTCATCATTTGGGAGGACTGGCTATGAATGAAGAGACATTGTGTGTCTGCCACAGTGAGAAGATTTTCCCAGCGGATAATAGACACCTGTGTTACAGATTACAACAGATACTTCACCAGAACAGACGTGTCAGCTCAGGATCTGAAGATTAGAGGTGTGACCTCCAGATGCTGCTGCCTTCATCACACACAGTTTGCATCACTGGTGTTATCAGGTTCCCTTTTGGCTTTTGGTTTAAATCCCATATATTGGCAAATAGATGTCTGTGAATGTTCTCATTCGTCCAGGTCATAGTTATCTCTCTCTCAAATTGAATCGAAGGCAACTGGACTTGTATTTGTCTGTGGAAGACGTTTCGCCTCTTATCCAAGCGGCTTCATTGGCAAGCGGCTTCATTGGCAAATAGATGCTTTCGCTTTGACACCAAACCCTCCACCACTGTCACCCCTCCTCTGGTCACATGATGAGACTCCACTACTCAGCGACACTTTCAGTTTAAAAAATTGTAGCCAGCCTCACACCAAACAACTTTCCAAGCTATTTCACTGTCACAGACTCATTTCCAATATCTGAATAAAATCATGAGAGTTTTGCTCGAGTTGCGGCGAGCTCCCATCATCTCGACCGTTTGGTGTCAGGTGACGTTCCGATAAAATCAATCATGTTTAATATCCTAAATTTTTAGTCTTGGCAACTCCAGGGAGGCGGCAGGCATTGAAATAAAAATAATTTCAAAATGGAAAAAAAGTCTGGAAAAAGAAGTTTTTCTTCCTGTAAATGTTCACCAAGAGAATGATGGGAAACAGAATTAAAGGAATCTAGTTGCAGTCTTGTAAATAGTGACCACAGTCTTTACAGAACCTTATAGTGTGAGACTAACGACTCTGTGTCTTAAGGTGTGAGAGGGTGTCAGAATTTAGTCTTTTGTGTCTGGTCGGTTTAAGTATGGATAGTTTCTTATCTGATGACCGTGGCCTGATACACGAAAATGAACCAAATGGGTTTTATGTCTATTAAAAAATTAGTTATGTAATCGTTGTCTGAACATCGTGTAAGACGACTACGGCAGCAACCCTATATGGATATTCTCTGTTTTTGTTTCATTGTTAGTGGTGCATTTTTTTCTCTTCTTTTTAAACCACATCTTCTCCATTTGCTTTTCTGCAGCTGTGAGGAAACCCCCCGTTTCCCCCATGAGACGCCACATCTGCTGCCGCTCAACATCACTGTGCTTTTTCAAGCCCATCTCCTTCTGTTTGTGTGTTAGTACACTGTGCAGACCATCAGGGTCTTGTGCAGAGATCAATCAGTGGCACGAAATCCAGACAGCGGGAGCGGCGGCCCACGCTGCGCACATAATGATGGAGAGAAAGTAAAAGGTGAGGGGAGGAAAATAAAAGAACCTGTGCCTCTGCTTCCTGAACAGACGCTCCATCACAGAAACAAGCCACGAAAGAAAAAAGGCACCAGGAGGAGAGAACAACAGAGGAGAATTTTTCTCAGTTCTGCCACCATGTTGCCTTCAATGGCTCGTGTTTCAATGTGAAAGCCGGCTCTGTGAGTCATGTGCAGCTCATCAGAGATCAGAGACTGGTTGATATCAGAGAATGAGTCACAAAAGGAGCCGTTGGCCTCCTTCATGTTGCTGCCACTTTGATGAGTGGAGTCAAAAAAAAAAAAAAAGCGAGCGATAGAAAGTGTGAGAGCAAAAGTGAATTTAAAGCTGGAGGAGTAAGATGTGGTTAGCATCTGAAACCTGACCACCAGCTCCTACTACAGACATGACTGGTAGAAAGAGGGTGGAGTACTGAGAAAGCTTGTAAAGTCACACAAAGAGGAAGTTGGTTTAAATGGTGACATGGCTAGAAAAAAAAAAAAACAGGAAGCGTTTTATGCACAGATACTGTCCCAGAGTGACAGTGACCGCAGCTTCACATCAGCTTAAGTACAGTACAGCTCATGTACTCACCCCTGGCCGACAGCTTCTTGGTATTGATTATTTTGGCGGCGTATTCCTGTCCTGTGGAAATCTTCATGCACCGCCTGACCACAGAGAAGGCTCCCCTGCACAACAGAGAACATTGGCATCAGTCACTCTGTGGCAAGATTTGCTAAAATCAACACAACAATGCAACTTTTTTGGGACATTTCTGTGTTGTAGAAAATCCAATAAAACAAATCTTAGTGAAAAAAAGATTTCCATTCTCTGAGCTCCTGAGACTCATTTGAAGACAAACTGACCGTTCTGTAACTGAGCTTGAGAGTGGAAACAGCAGTTAAACAAAACAGCTGCAGCTGAGGCTGCGTTCACACTGCTACATTTTCATTTTAAAACAGTGTTTTCAAACGGAAACGATCTCCGTCCAGTCGTCCGTTTAAGCTCCGTATCAGAAATGATCTCTGTCCAGACGAACACACCTGAAAATACACACACACACATACGTGACCATTCATATACACTGAGAATGTGTGAGCTGGTGTAAACAGGAAGTAGATAGTCTCCTCTGCAGTAAATCCTCTGAAGGAGGACCAGCAAAGACAGTTGTAGCATTAAAACAGAGAATGTAAGTGAACAACAGCTGCTAGCAAAGACAACAAGGTCAGTAACTGTCATTCATTATCATGTTGTATTCACCACTGGTTGACCAGGTTGATAAGAGCCAATCAGGAGAGACTGTGGGTGTCTATGTCATCGTTTCCAAAGGTTTCAGTTTCTGTCTGTCCAGACTACAACACATCCCCAGAGTTTTCAAAATAAAACAGGGTCACCAGCATTTCCAAAAGTCTCTTTTTTTGGTGTTCGAAAACTCGGGTATCGTGTGGACGAAGGTGAAAACGTAGGAAAAGAGATACGTAGCCGCTTACTATTAGAGCTCAGTTGAGTTTGTTCGGTCGCGACACAACATATAGATCCAAGATCATGAGCACTGTGGAAGGACTCAACAAACAGGTAGTGCACCTTGAGCTGTGAAAGTTTTTTTTTTTACCTTGCTATGTTTTACACTTGAGTGAATCTCCTTGTTTTTTGTTGCTCATTTGATCCATTTGGCAGTTGGAGTGGCTGTTTTAATCAGTATGCAGTATATTTCAGAACCACCACTCAAAACTGAAGCAGGAACAAAGACATGCATACAATATCAAAACAATCTTCTTAGTGACTGCCTCATGGCATTACTGGATTTTTGTATGACTTTAGCAACAATGTGATGAAGTAGGCAGGTGTTTAATTCACTGGATTTACCAGACAGACATTACCACCTACTCGTCATTCAAAAAACACTGATCGAAAATGTCTCTATTTACTTTAAATCACACTGTCGCCATAGAAATGTGCTCTTCATTATGTGAACCAAAGGATGCATTTAAGGATGCTGACGGGTATTAAGATGACATCCGTGAAAGGTGCCAGTCTTGTTGCAGACTGTGTAAAGCGCTGCTCAGCAAGATCTCTTCTTTACAACAGCCACACCTTCTTTAGTTGGGATCATTAACTACAACTAAAGAAGGTGTGGCTGTTTTACAACACCCCCCCCCCACACACACACACACACACACACACACACACACACACACACTCAAACTCAGACAACCATGGGTCTTTTATCAGATATTAGAAACTCATGGTGCAGAGCAGTAACTGATGTGGTTGCTGGTATTCAGTCATTGTGATAAATGTTTGACAGGCCACTGCATCCACACACTCCACTGTGATGCGTCTCTCTCCACAACTGAGTGCATCAGTGTGAGGTTGATCTCTGCTCTTCACTGTAGGAACAAACTGCATGATTCAACATAAAACCAGACCTAACTGGAGACTGTTTATTACTGCTTTGAGTTTATCTGTGTCAACATGAGCAGTTGCACATTTTTAGTCGTATTTTAAAAAAAATAACAGAAATAAGAAGGCAGTGTTGTGTGCACGGACCACAGACACACCACTGAAGAATTTCAACCTTTCCCGTTTTGCACAAAGGGGCGGAAACTTCTCCAAACAGAAAGCAAATGAGATAGGGGCACATTCAGTGTCTAATACACACGGTTTACACGCATTTCAGCTGAGCTTCACTTGCCTGCAGCTGACAGAGAGACACGGGTTACCTGAGCTGTTCTGCTGAAGGCATTCACACCAAATTCCACACGCACTTCTGCTTGTTTTTACTCGCCTGGCGTGTTGCCAGAGGGACATGTCCGCTGGAGCACAGCTTCAAACCCCTGACCTCTGATTAAAAGGCACCACTTTTATATTCGACACACACCCCGACGCACTTTGTGATGCTTTTGAATGTTTTCTTAAATGTTTGAGTTGCTTCACCTGACGTTATTGAATCAGTCTTCAGCCGATGGGCGGCAGCGAGCGGGACAAGCGATACATCAAACAGTTACGATAAATAAACAAATATAAGAGCAAAGTACAGACCCCACTGGTTAAAAACGCAGCCGTTAGTTTTTTATCTTGCTCGTGCTCCTCGTTGATATCGAAGTTAAAAGTAAACGAAAAGATTGTTGAATGGGAACCCGCGCTGACTGAACCTATCAAGGTAGGAACAGGTAGGCGGCGCCGCCCGCGGAGGTATAGGTAAATCTTAACAACCACAGTAACAATAATATCATAGTTTTAACTTTAAGCTTCATTTTAACCACAAATGTCGAATAAACATGTTGATAAAACGGGGACAACTTACTTCCCCAGCTCCTCGTACAGCTGGTACTCATCAGTGAACCTGGTGCATGTCGTTGAAGCCATGTTAAGGTGGGCAGGGGAGACCTACTCGGGAACCTGAACGCCTCAGCTGCTTTAATACTCTGCACAAATCCTTTCCCCTCTGTGTCCCAGAGTGCCACTTGTCGCTCTTCGCAGAGGAAAATAAAAGCAAACTTAGGAATGATGTAGGAATGAGTCCTGGACGCGGTGAAAGCTCGGTGTGGCCCCTCCCGGCACCTGTTCGCAGACCCCGTTTACTCCTGGACTTGACAGGAACGTCGCGACCTGCTGTTGTGTCTGTCTCTACACTGATACTTGGATTAGTTGACCGAAGTCAAGACAGACTTAACATAGAATATCATATTTCCGGTATACACATTTCAAAATAAAACCCTAATTGACACTGAATGATTTGTCTCGACCTCATGTCGGCTAATATGTATTTGGGATACATTTTATGGGAAACCTTGATTTATCGAACATTGTGCAAGCACAAATTTTAGACCTTCATTTGTGCTTTTGTCAGTTTTAAAGCTGCCACTATGTAAAATTAATTTTGCAACTTTTATTTAAGTAATTCAAAACTTAGGAAAACTTTATGACAAATAAATAAATAAAATCTGATTATTTTTTTTAAATGTTATAATTGCACTTTCTGTAGGCCTACCTTTGTTGTATCATTATGAGTCTTAAGTTGCAGAACATATCTGGATCTGTTATTGTTATGATTCTGTACAAAAATTAAAACTTTCGAACGAGAAAATTTCCTTGAATGATTCGTATTATTTCTAAAATACATTTTTGCACTGATTTTTATTTTTTATTTTTTTTGGTAATCATCACCACTGTCGTCGATGTTGCAGCGTATTTTGACACTAAGTTCATTTAAGTATTAATTTTTAACTTTATACTCGGTACTATGCTCAGTGAATGTTGCATCCACTACACGTTTCAGTTTGGCAGACTTTAATCTTTCATTTTATTTTGGAGGAAAAATAGCCTAACATCCGTTTTTTTCTCGATACGCGGTGTCTCGCTTGATGAAGCTGAATTTCTTCCGAACGCTTCCTACTTGGAAAAGCTGCATAATGCCTCCATCTACAGGCAGAGGGTTGACCTGCTCCAGACCTCTGCTGTTGGGAGAGTCAAGAGGGACCCCCACCCGACCACATTTCCACAAACAGAAGGCTCCACCACAGACTTCTATCTTAATTTTTTTTTTTTTTTTACTTGATCTACACCATACAGTAAAAAAAGAAAAGAAAAGAAAAGAAAAGAAAAAATCAGTATGGCAGTGAAAAGGAAACTTTGCTACTGAGATTTTCCAGCAGTGGCAAAAAGGGAACAGGCAGCCTGACTGCTCTGTTTACAGTTTCCACCGAAACCCACTTGTTTCATTGCAGGCTACTTTATCGACCATTAACAAAAGGAAGCAAGTTGAATCATGTTAGAACAACATTATCTAGGACACAATAGTGTTGTTTTAACATGATTCAACTTGCTTCCTTCCCGAATAGCATTTATTTTTTCAGACATGTTTCTCATGTCTTAGTGTTGTGTAAAGGAAAATTTTAAACTCTAAACCACAAGCAGAAAAGGTTTCCTCACATCAGCTGCTGATCACCAGTTTTTCTTTCCCTCTGTCAAAGAGGCTCCATCCTGTGCTTCACACGAGGAGAAACACTCACTCACTCATTCAGTTTTGTTTATAAATGTTTCAATAGCCCATGAGCTCATACTGAACTGGGTCAGACGACCTTCCAGTGCTCAGATGATTTAAAATTTTTAATTAACGCGTGACATATGATTGTTTCAGATGCTGTTTGTGTGTGATTGTGTGACTGACCGTGTTTTGTCAGTGTCTTTAATGTTGTTCTGTTTCTTCTGCTCTAGGCTATTCAAGTCTGGCTTTCAAAATAGATCCTGATCTCGATAAGACCACATGATGTTGTTTCTCTGAATAAATCTTCTCAACCTGGATCTTGTTGCCTCATTATTCATATTCATTCAGCTTTAGCTCGAATAAACATTTGCACATTTTCTCCCTGGCCCCTGAAATGACTCTACGTGCCCCCAGGGGTCCTACACCACACTGAGAACCACTAATATATGGAATCAGGGTTGCATTTATGGGCAGCTGGTGGTGTGATGAAAAGAAAGAAAAAAAATCTCATTCGAACTTCATTTTCTAACCTTTCACAGTTTGCACAGTCATCATTATGGGCAGGCAGATCAATCGCCAACACGATGGTACCAAAGAAAAAAGATGTCTCCTGTTACCTCAGTAGATCAGAGAATTCATACAATGAACATTTGTATTTTTTGTTTAGCATGCATGTGATTAAGTATTTCACAGAGGACAACGATCAGAAATGTCCAATGTTTGGCAAATCACTCACTGGCAATGAAAATGTATTAAGAATCCTATTAATTTTAGATGGAGTTTGCTCAGTTGTCATGTAGGTAACTCACATTATTCACATGAGGTATGGAACTTTGGTCACATGATAACAGGTGGGTATATGGGCTATGCACTGAAAAGCAGATTTTGAGTTGTTACATTGGAAAAGGGACATATTTTTACCTGTGGTTAACTCAAACCTGTCAGTATACATATTGAATACATTAACAGTATGCTGTTTATGGACACTATTCTCTCACAATGCACTGCACATGATCAGTGGAGGAGCTCCTCATAGGCGGAAAGACACTGAATAAATTGTGGGTGATGGTCAGACAGCTCCAGAAACGAAACAAAAAACTTTGCAGTTTGAGTAGCAGTTTGATTGATGTCCATGAGTCTGTGCACTGATTGTATAATTTCCTGTTAGTATAAAATTTTCAAATATATTGATTTCTTTTGTGTACTAAATTCCAAAAAAGTATGCTTTCACATTTAGTATGTGAGTAGAGAAACAGGATGACAGTGCCCCCATCCGTAGGGAATGAGGGGTTACTGGTGGTTTGATGAGTATGAAAATGATGTAGGTCATATGCTGTGGCCTTCACAGTCACCTGATCTCAACCCAGGTGAACACCTAACCTATGGGAGATGTTGGAGTGACATGTTAGATAGCACTCTCCACCAATCATCAAAACAGGGAATACCTTTATGAAGAATGGTTCACATTCCAGTAGAGTTCAGAGACTTGGAGCAATGGAGCTGTTCTAGCAGCTCATGGTGGAACAACACTGTACTGAGACTCTTTATGTTGGTTTTTCTTTAATTTGTCACCTACATGTTTAGGTCTGGGACGCGCCACTGTGTCTGCTCCACAGTGTCTGCTCCACAGTGGTAGAGGAAATACTCAGACCCTTTACCAATACAACACTGTTAAAACTCTCTATTAAAAGTAATGGTTCAAAAGTTCACCTAAGTAAATCTAAAAAGATAGATTTATAGTACACACCATGATCCACTTCCTTTGGCTGAGGTGTTGTATAGCCTGATGGCAGTGGGAACAAAGGATCTCCTGAACCTCTCTGTTCTGCAGCGCAGTGAGATGAGACATTTGCTTCTGTAGCTGCTTCTCTGTCCTGCCAGAATGTTGTGGAGAGGATGGTTGGTATTGTCCAAGATGGCCTCCATCTTACATTGCATGCATCTCTCCACAACAGTCCTAAGTGAGTCCAGACTCCTACCAAGCACAGACCAAGCCTTTTTGCATAAAAAAGTACTCTGTCCACCTCTGACTGATAAAACATGTGCAGCATTTCATTGCAGACATCAAAGGACCTGAGCCTCCTGAGGAAAAAGAGCCAGCTCTGCCCCTTCCTGTAGATGTCATCCGTGTTCAGGGACCAGTCCAGGTTACTGTGCACACAGGTATTATTAGCTAGAAGTATTTGGTCCCTGTGACTGATAAGTTCTTTATATACAGTTAGCTCATTTAGTTCAGTTTTTCTCAACCCAGGGCTCAAAAGTTACTTAAAGGAGCTACATGTAAGTTTTGCTACATGGCTACATAGCCAGTATTAGCATTAGCAGCTGTTTACTTACCAGTCTAAAAGAAACATTGTGAGTTCAGCATCAAACTTCTTTCCTTTACTCACCAACAGCTGTCTTCAGAGGTGGAGAGAAACACCAATGTTAACCCTATCACATCTTTAATTCTACTGAAGTTAGCATGCTAGTGAGCCCCATCCAGAACATATCATCACTTTCTGATATTGAGTCACTGTAGCCTCCAGTCTGCTCTGAAGAAATAGCTGCTCAGAGGACGCTCAGTGTTACATATATGATACTAGAATATTATTATTATTTTTGGGTTGATATTTGCCTTTATTTTGATGGACACACAGGAATATTATTATTGATGGTATAAGCAGGATTTCAATGTCGTCAAGGAAGCTAGTTAAGAGGGTTCAAAGTGAAGTGGAGTAGAAGTATCATGAAAATTGAAACACTCAACAAGAGGTACCTCAAAAATACTTGAGTGAATACACTTAGTTACTTTCCAGCACTGCTGTTCAAAAATTGTCTCTGGTGTCAGTGTGAATGTCCTTGATCTGATAGATAAGTTTCTGGGGACACACTTACTGGGTCAGTAATTAGTAGGAAGCTCCTGGCTAATCAAAGTAATTAGGTCATGGTGTTTCCAAAACTACTCAATTTTTTTAATGTCTTTGGGCAAACACACTGAAGCAGCTTAGCTGAGCAAATAAAGCTCTTCTAAAAAACAATTTCAACAAAAAACCCTCCAGAAATCCCACACCTTCCCGACACAGAACCAGTTCAGGATGGCAGAGAGAGCCAGGTTCACCTTGCACACTCGCTGTTAACTGGATCTCTATTAATCCCCACTTAACTCATAATCTGCTCCAATCCACCTCTGAGGAAGTGCTGCTGTAAAACACACCATTGGAACAGCGCATGCACCGTTATACAGTGTGTGTGCTTGTGCGTGCGTGTGTGTGTGTCTAATCCCTCCAAACTAGAAAAGCAGCTGTTTATATAAACGTGGACACATTAATAGTCCAGTATGACTCATTACTGTCTGTTTTCATCCTTTGCGTAACTTCATTTTCATGTTTGTGTGTGTATATATGATTTTCCATGAGGTAGTTACTATAATAACGATGTGGTGAAACTATTAATGTGATCATATCAGACCGACACTGTGTCTCACCTTGTACATGGCCACATACTGTAGCTCAGTCATTAATGCTATACAACAATGTTTGCACCCAAGTGTAGTTCAAGGGTAAAATATGAGACGCTACTTTTGCTAAAAAGAAAGTTGGAAAAGAGCCTGAGATGAGCCAGCAGACGTCTCC